TTACTGGAATCCTGAAATGAAGGTCCTTGAGGGGCTGTACAGAATGGCATTGCTGGCAACGCCAGTTGCTTCCACTCATGGCTCTATAGTTATTTAAGTGACGGCTTAGGCTCTGCTCTCTAGAACTATTTTCAGGAGTGGGGGATTGTAGTCTTGAGATGTTTGTTTCACATTGAATTGTGACATTTCTTTTCCCCTTTTTCCACCCCCCAGAAGAAAAATTTGCCCAAGCGGTGTGTTTTTTGCTTGTAGACCTGTATATATTAACCTACCAAGCTGAAAAAGCATTGCATCTTCTCGCTGTGCTAGAAAAAATGATTTCACAGGGTAACAATAACAAAAATGGGAAGAATGAGGTAAGTGTTTTGAGGTAATAAACTAAAATGTAATATATGGCACATTTTTTATTATTAAATATGTCAATAGTTTTATTGAAATATAATCCACATACAAAAAAGTTACCATTTTAAAGTGTTCAGTTAATGGTTTACTCACAGATTTGTAAACCATCATTATTATCTAAATTCCAAAACATTTTCACCACCCTAGAAAAGAAACCCTGTACTTCTAAACAGCCATTCCTTTCTTTTTTTTTTTTTTATTACAAAGTTTATTTTTACATCATTTTGCACATTTTTTTTCCATCTTGATTGTAATCCCTGCGGGTTTCCCATCACCAAATCACCCCTGTGCCACCACCATAATCCACAGCACTTCCCTCACCACCCCCCCCCCATTTTTGATCCCATTCCCCACTCCACCCCCACAAAATGTATACAAAATGTCTCTGGTATATGGCTGTTCATTATTCTTATTATTTTCTCGCCTGGTCCATTATACTATAGGAGTAATTTTTCAATTCAAACTCTTCAACAAAAGTGAGAACGATAGCCAACATTTATTAAATGCTAACTTGATTCCAGATTCCATATAAGTGCCTTTTGTGTCTTTTATCATATAATCTTCACATTTAGTCCTTGAGGTCAGTCCTTACTATGGCAGTTTTATTACTAGGATTTGAGGAGAGCCTTAAAAATTTTAATTCATGCACTAGCTGGATTTGAACCAGATTCCTGAATCTGTTTGTGTAACCTCCTCAGTCTTTATAAATGTATGCCGTTGCATTCCATTATTACT